TACACACTCTTGCATAAAGGCATAATACACACGCATAAGAAAATTGACTAATCAGAATCCTCATTTCTATTGCCACGATGAAAATGAAGGACTTTGATTAGTCAATTTTCTTATGCGTTATGCATTATGCCTTTATGCAAAAGTGTGTGCTTCCCGCTTTAAGTGTCTTCTACAATAGCAGTAGGAGTAGTAGTAAGAAATAAGCAGTAAGTAAATAGATCAATCACAATCGATTATTTTTGAAACGTGAAAATGGAATTGGTCAATTTGCTTACTGCTTATTTCTTACTATTACTCCTACTGCCATTGTAGAAGACACTTTAAGCTTATGAACAAAAGTTTAAGATATAAAACAGATGTATAGATTTTTTCTCATTTATTAGTATTCACTTATCGACTTATTATTAAGAAAAACAAAGCAAAGATTGTTCCTAATTCGGAGATTCAGTTTATGTTTAGAAATTAGCCGACTTAGTTTTTAGTTCAGACTGTACTAGACAAAGACATAGCGCTGTTCGAGACCTACAAGCATGCTCTCTCTCATCCCGCAATATTCAAGAAGTAGCGTGCGTTCTAGGTAGTATATATTTCAGTGGGCTTTTCTCTGCTCTCGCTGTTATCGACGTAACGCTACCATGCGGCGGCGCAACCATCGACATATAGAATGGACTGTTAAATGAGATGGTGGGGGTAGGACAGATGTAGAGTGAGAGGCAGACAATAGTAGGACATCTTCCGTCTCTTTTCTAAGTAGGAGCGTAGCGCATCGTAACAGAACCTTAATCATACTGATAATTTATAATAAATGTTTCAAAGAATTACTTGTGATTTTAGTCTAGTGTAACATTTTTAATATTTAAAAAATATACTGTTTTTTATATAATAACATTTTATTAGTATTGAAATGAGAATAAGTATAAATACATATGTAAATAGATAGGTAGAAAAAGAAATACAACTCGATATTATATATGCAGTATTATTTATTAATTGGTTAACTGACAAAAATGTACCATTTTAACTTTTGTACTACATGATATTTTCGAGCAACATAATACGTAATAGAGATGTAGCGTGAAGTAATACTCTCGCTTGGGGCCTGACTTTTGCAGGATACAGTATTGCTGAAATTCCTGCAGCCAATCAGACTTCAGTAAACAGAGACGGAAGGTGTCCTACTGTAACGTCCGGATCTATTTTAGAACATTAATAATATATTATTATAGACCGAGAGGCCGACTTGTCTGATTTCAGACATCACTAGATATTTTATCCCTATGTTACTAGATGTAAGTACGTGCGCATATGCATATTCGCGAGCGTTAAAACATTATAATTAAAATGCCGAATGCTGCGTGCTGCTGGAGAGTCTCGAAATCGACGGATCTCGGATCGACCCAAAGAAACCGCTATCGCTCAGTGCGATAAGCCAACATAAACAGGAGCATGAAAGCTGAATCCTAAACACCACTCAGGACACCGACGCGGTGACATCATGCAAAGGAATTAATCTCTTCCTCGCCATAACTCCATGGACCAATCGGAGAACGACTCTCAGCGACAAAGCGACGTATAAAAGCGCGCGCATTTGTAGAGAAGGCAATATATATAATTATTTTCTTCTCATAGTTAGTCTCTGGTAGCTTCATGTACTTATTCAGTATATTATACTTAGTCGTAAAATCCGACTGTGTTGCAATTACTTTTGCCTACCCTTCATATTTCAAACGTTGCGAAATCAAATTCTGAATCGCGGGCCGCATCAACCCGCGTGGTATCGGAACATCCGAGGCCGAGCCAGGAGAACAAGCACCGCTGATTTTTCGCCAGATTCATCAATCGTTTCGCCAGGCTCCCGAGACCCAGGGTAAACTCGGTGAAAAGCAGAGTGACCCAAAAGCGGAGCCATCACTCTGTTGACCGTCCACGTAAGTCACTGATTTCACTACTTTCAAATTTCCCTATATAGTTATCTATCGTGGACGTAACACTACTATTGTCTGCCTCTTATTCTACATCTGTTCCTACCCCCACCATCTTATTTAGCAGTCCATTCTATATGTCGATGGGCGCAACTTATCCGTGGCGATAGCAGTAAGTTCCACCGGGGATCGTCAGATGGCGCACGTTGTACCATCTCCGTGTCCATCTTCGCGCCATCTCTACTCGTTTGGTTCTCTCTCACTCTACTGCTTTGGAAAATATAGGATACAAAAATGGTGCCATTAACCTCTTGTCGGAAAGCGACCTGTTAATTCTCTTGTAGATTTCTTCCTTATATTCGGCAAAAAGCTCTTGGATTATTTATGAAGGTAAATATAAGATTGTTCTGATATACGTAGATACGAGATGTATCATATCGATGAAGGATCTAAAGATTGTACGGTACGATAATCGGCGAACTCGCGTCCTTCTTTCAAGCGTATTTGTTGAATGAAACGGCGAAAGAACTTCCAGATCTTTCATCTTTCAGATTCATGCCGAATCAAGCACTAAAAGGGTAAAAACATAATTCGCACATATTAGCATGAACGTATGCTTATCGGTACCAATGTACTGCCTCCCTCCTTTCCCCCTACTTTCTCCCTACTTTCTTCTCCCGTCCTCATAAACATATATGTCAAATGTTATTGTTGAATTGATAAGTATTAATAACGTAAAAAATATAATATCGTTGCTTCGATGATACTTCTCTGTGTCATACAGTTACATTAGATTTTATCTTGTTTTTCAGTGATTTCTGGTCGGATCGACGATGAAAATCGGTAAATTCAATAGCGCTTGTCGCAACTCGACTTTCAAGGGGATACTCTTTTCAAGCGTAACACACATCCTTAACATTGAAATATTTTTGTTAGCATTATAAAACACAATTCTGTGTTTATTACATAGAATCGCGTTTCATAATGCCAGATTAGATTGTTAGGATTACCATCAGAACAATATATCTGCGCGAGATGTCGATGTTTAACGTCCGATCGTGCATGATCACGTGTGCGAAAACACTTTGGGAGAGAAGGGCAAATATTTTCGTTAACGTTGACTTGTTGATTAATCGATGATTGCTGACGTGCTTACAGAACTCACACGATTATCGTTAGATCAACCGATTTTTATGTTTGCTCGAGTTTCGTTCACTTTCGCGACATTAGCATCGACATTTCAGCGCCTACACTTATGTTTTATCGCATACGAGATGAATAAATGCAAATATTACGATATTGACGAGAAAAGATAAAACAGCGGGAATTTCTGGCGATAGGTTACGTACACATGAATCTTGTGTTTAATACAGTTGTGCAAATATAATAATCACAGATTGCTCTTCCCCTCTCTCGCTCTTTCTCTCGACTTCCCCGCGTGTAATCCCCGATAAGCTTGTTTTCCCCGATTTCTTTTACGTAATTAGTCATTTAACGGTGAATAATGCGAGAAAGATTAAACAACGGATGTGGAATTCTTCGAACGTGTTATTCTTCCAATAACATTACGTGTCCAAATATATATTATGTGGATGGTAGGCAAAACTTTATTTACGAAACGTATCAGACACGTCCTTGATGCTAACTTATGCGCAAAATCATGATATTCATTTTTATTTAATTATACCCCACTGCTATCACGCGGGTGATGCGATAATCAATTTATTTAATATATAAAAGGCGACCGAATTATTCGACAGTAGTACGCTCTTGAAAGCTGACAGACGCTCAACCATTTATCCTCCGTGTCAGAATGAAAATTTACTTGCTTGTTCTCTTGGCTCTAGCCGCGGTCGCCGTTGCTGTGCCCATTGAAGGTATTCTAGATAGCATAAGATGCTCTCTAAGAGCCAATTTTTTTCAACCTCTATTTAATTAAGTAAGCTGACTAATAGTTAAACTAAGCTCCACCTGTCTTTGTTTTTTCTTCAAATTAGACAAAGACAGATATATGATTTAACGGTTAGTTTATCAAGAAGTTGAAAAAATCAGCTCTAAAGGCATCAGATCTTATACTTAACTCGTCGTCGGAAAGGTGGAATCTGAGAGACCCCATCTTATTTCGTTTTTTTTAAGTCTTTAATATCTCTAGAATTTTTTTGTTAGCTATTATTAAATTTTAATATTCTACAAAATCATAAGAGATTAAAGTTTGAAAAATTATATAAGTACAATCAAAAAAAGAAGAAAGAAATCTACCAAATTCCACCTTTCTAATAACGGATTAAGATCGTATCAAGTTTATCTTCAGACATTATATGATTAGTTTGATGAATTTCGCTGGCTATAGAGAGTGGCTCCGAAGATGAACTTAAGACGACTTTAATACGACTATGAATATTAGGCTAAAATCATTTTGGATGTTTTCAAAACGTCCTGAGACATTACTCGGACATTTCGGGCACGTTTAGGACACTTCCGAAAAGTCCTGTGCTATTTGGGAGAGTATAATTTAGAAACCTATCGCTAGAATCTAACGTAACCTCGCGATCTATCGTCGACAGATATGTGACACTTAACGAAAACGCTCGTGCTCGGTACACGTATAAAGTCGAGTAAGATACGCTTTCGTTGAAGATCGCGCGGCGATACGAACGATGGATGATGCATTATGGAGCCGTTCTTGAAAAGGTTTCCAATCGAAATGATCCTGTTTCTCGTCGACTGTCCTATTACGGGCGTTCGGATAGTATCCGAAACGACCGGAAAGTTTCCGACACTTCATCGGGCAACCGGTCAATGTCGATTCCAATCGAGAGAGGAATATCTTCCGCGAGATTCTTGCGTCGCATTTGAGAGAGATCATTATCGTCTGTGTCTTATCCGTGGTGTGTGCTCCATTCGCTAAATTCTGAAACTACAATTTGTTTGCAGGTGACAACATGCAGGACATGTTTGATTTGGTCCCTGAAGATGACGTCCATTTCCGTGTACGTAGGGCCACCTGCGATCTTATCGGTGGTGGTATCGGTGATAGCCTTTGCGCCGCGCACTGCCTAGCTAAAGGATATCGCGGAGGTTACTGCAACAATAAACGTGTCTGCGTATGCCGCAATTAGCACGTAAGTTGCCGTTTGAATAATTATTTTTTCGTAATCGCGGTTACTTCGACGGTTGCTGATTTGTAAGTGATTTACAACACGAGGAAAACGATCCTTGCGTCTTTCCATCTGGTGTCGACTGGTGTAGCATATTAAGCCACAACAGTTTTGTAGAATTTTACGTCATTAATTCAGGAAACTCGCGTGTGTGTGTCATTAGCGTATATTCATACATTATATTTTTATATGTATTGATATCTTGTAATGAGGTTTTCTTTCGCAATTTTTACAGTGAATTCTTGAAGACATGGATGAAGAAACAATTGAAGGCTTGAACATTAACTACCTGTGGAAGCACGGAAAACACGTTTTGTTAAGATTTTACCAGCGCTTGTAACTCCTGTCCTTCTCCCTCATCTATAGTTTTGTTTATAATAAATATTTAGGTATCTATATAAAAATTAATATTACATTTTTGTATTACACTCTTGTTTTTGTATTACACTCTTCAAAAATACACATATACTGTACGCACAGAGAGAATATAAATCTTTTTTCATGTAAATTCTTTTCAGTTTTACCATGTTTTTGGTAGTGCAGGAATATCTTATCAGTCAGGTCTATTTTGTTAAGGAACATAATAAATATCGGTAGAAACATTAAATTTTTTAATGTCACATTTCTAATTTATTATTAGTAGTGCACATGCGAACGGAAAGAATAATAAATTACTGTAAAATGTTAATCTATTTCTCGTCTACAAAATTCTATATTAATATTTACTATGATAAAATTCTCTCCGTATATAACATATTATATTATGCATGCACAAACAGGGAAGTCGCTACATTTTTCGTTCAAAATTGCGTCTCGACTTGAATGCAATATGAACATATTTTGCGAATAAATGATATATCCTGCTTTTTTTTATTTAGGCACGTGATCGAAAACGCACGGAAGAGTAGGAAAAGTATGGAAATGATCATAAACTTTCATTATCGGAGCAGATATGGCAGTCAATCTTTACTGCAAACATTCGAAGAAAATTCATTTTGCAGTTTCTTCCAATTTCAATTTCAAGTTCCATATCAATTTGCTGGAAGCAAAAATTATTAAGACGCGGAATCTGGACTAATACGATAAGTTCAACACGGACAAGATCGTTTGCCATTGCTTACCTGTCACACACGCAAACGCCGATGCGATTCGAACCGGCATAATGACCACCGGTTCTTTCCGCGAGTATGCAGCGTGACTTGCACGCTGCGTTACTGAACTTGCAAGTGATCCTGCGATATTTTCTGGTACGTCCTTCCAACAAGCTCTGTAAGAGCTTCAAAGTTTGATCCGTCTCCTGAAATTGCCCGTTTCATTATCCGTAAGTTAATTTTAAGATCAGTGATTATGGTAAACGAGAATACTATATATGCACAAATGAATTCAATAAGTAATTTAGTATTATCTAGTTATATATTGTTTTGCTAAGCTATTGTTATGTTGTGTACAAACCTTCGGTTAGCGCTGCCACAGCGGCGATCACGACAACAACTAGAAAAGCAGCGAGAACGTGAAGTCTCATGATTGCGAAACATTCTGCGGTTCAATTTGAATAACTGATCTCTTTTCGTGTTTATTTGATTTCTTATATAACGAGCGCGGGAAAATCCTATGATCGAGATTGAGATTCGTCTTTGAGCTTAATTATCCAAGAGGAACTTGTGAGATAATGAAATCATAATATCTGATTGCTGCACAGCGAGTTCGCGCTGTAATCGCGGTAATCGATACTCTAGTGATACTCGAGTTCGAGTGGGAGACACGACGGTTTATACGCGTTGACTGGCGTACTGCAGCGTCAAAGTGAATTAATCGACCAGGATCTATTATGCGATCTCAATCGAAATTACACATGCATCGGGAAGAAAACATATGAAGCGATCGTTGCGTAACTCAGCTCTCCGAGAGAGACGAGCTAAAGCGTCGATATTTAAAAGTGTTGCATAACATAATACTCGATACGATATCCGACACTGTGTTTTGCGACGATATATGAGAATTTATTCGTTTTACTATTCCTCTTGCGCAATAATAACGGTTACGGCGTCGGCAACGCTCGCCGATGGTTTGTATTTGTTTTAATAGATCGCATAAATATGTTTCTCATCCATAGATTGCGCGATTTATAGTTGACGGTATTTACGTATTCAAAATGTGTACGCGATTAGTAGCTGGCATACTTGAAAATCCAGCACGAGCTGTTAATATTCCTTTCTTTTATGTCGTCCATCTCTTTTTGCAATGCAAGGAGAATGTGGTTTTTTGTTACCTGTAGATAAAGGACCCCGCACAAAACCTATGGAAAATGGTTTTCGGTCAAATTGGCTGAAATTTCACTATGTTATAGTTTTCGCCATGCTGATAAAAAGTTATCATTGCACCAAGTTCCAAAAGTCAATATTTCTCAAGATATAAAGGGTCAAAGTAGTGAAATATGGTCATCCGCAGTAGTAAGACGTATGTTATAAGTGATACATTGATATTTATTAAACGAAATAAATAAAAATCGATTTTTACATAAATATATATATATATATATATATATATATATATATATATATGTAATAAATATTTAGTTCCGCAATATATATGTATATGTATATACAGGGTGGGGCAAAAATATCGGACCGATGAAATATCTC